CTGCTCCGGCACCCGAAGCCTCTCCCACCCCTCCTTCTGCCCTGACCTTGGGGTCTGCATAAGGATTTCTCTCACATCCCTGCTGCAGGATTTCCAGCAGTTTCTTGGGGGATTTTTCCCCCCCACTTCTTATATAGCTGCTCACAGAGGCACTGCCACCAGCGCTGATGGGCTCAGCCTTGGCCAGCAGCGGGGCCGACTTGGAGCTGGGGAAGCTTCTAGCAGCTTCTCACTGGAGCCACCCCTGGAGCCCCTTGCCTGCTGCCAAATCCCCCCCCCAACCCAACCGACGGCCAAAGTGCATTTCCCCTATCACCCTGCTATTAAGGAATGCTAGTGCTAAAAAGAGAGCTGTCTTTGAACAGATCACATTTAATAGAGAAAAGCAAAGAAGCAAATGTGCTGAATTTAGAAAAATCTTCTCTGAGCATAAGTTGAAAGGGAGGTTGAACTTGGGAGAATCCAGAGGACTCTTATCTACTTGCTAGCTAATTATCACACTATACCTACTAACTACTCTAAACAGAAAACGGAAACAGACCAACGGGGAGGAAATTGCACTTAGCCCATCAAGTCCCAAACCACCAGGATTCTTTTGTCTTGGATGGCACTTAACAGGTGCTCTCCTTTAGCCCTGAAGGAACATGTGTCCTGTCCAAGGAAAATAGCTAACTAACAAACTGAGAAACTGAGTATATAAATATATAAAGTTAAAATATATATATATTATTCACATTCCTTCCATTAGAAGTAAAAAAATAGTGTCCTATTTCTTCATGGGGGAAAGTCATTTTACTGGATTTTGCTGAGCCAGAATTGGTTTTCCCCTACAGCAGCCCCCATGGTGCTGTGGTTTATGCTGGGAGCTGGCAGGGTGTTGGCAGCCCCCTGGTGCCGCGGCTACTGCTGAGCGGTGCTTACACAGCGCCGAGGCTCTTTCCGACATTTCCCCCAGTGGGACGGGGTGGGCAAGGTCTTGGGAGGGGACACAGCCAGGACAGCTGACCCCAACTGCCCAAAGAGACATTCCAGACCGTGTGACGTCTGCTCAGGATAAAGCTGGGAGAAAGGAGGAAGGGGCTGGGGTCACCCTTGGTCCTCCGAGGCAACCACTCCGTGTGTGGGAGCCCTGATCCTGAGAAGGCCCCACAGCGCCTGCTCATGGCAAGTAGAGAATGAATCTGAGTTCTTTTCTTCACTTCCACACACGGACCTTTGCTTTGCTTCATTTCACTTTGCTTATATTAGAACTGCTTTTGTTTTACCCACAAGGGGTGGTCTATCTTAATTTCTTTCCCCTCTTTGCCCTGTTGACAAAACAAGGGGAAGGGGGGAAGCGATAGAGTGACTTGGTGGGTACCTGCAGCGATGCCATTCTTCCTTATGGCCACCTCGAATAAGGCGTTCCCTGCCTCTTTTCTTTTTTCAAGTTCAAACGCAGACAGTGCATCAGCAGGGACCCCATTCCTTTTGCACCAAATAAGTGAAGTGCACAGGGCTTTTTCCTCATCAGAGGGAGGTGGCGGAGCAGAGGGCTCCATGACGGGAGGCAAAGCGGGGGATGTCTGAGGGGCTTTCTGCTAATTCGGTCTTTGTGGAGGAAACAATTCACCTCGTGCTTCCTCATCAGAGTCCTCACACAAATCCCCTCGCGCTCAACCACAGCTACGTTTAGGACAGGCTCCCCTCGCTAGGTCTATATCTTGACCTCTTGCTGCTGAGACCCGGACCATGGACGCCCCTGGATTAGAAGGGGTTTCCCCTGAGCTTTCTTTCTTCACCTTAAAGTCCTTTAAAGTCTCTTTTAACAACCTCCACATTATAAGAAGGTTGGTTGCATTCTTATTACCCTGAGAGGCACACTCAAGCAATTTCTGTCCCAATTCTTCCCATTTGTTCAAACTACATGCAGGAACAGCACTAGCTTCATATCCTTGCGCTTTACTCCAACCGAGCATTCGCCTTAGCCCAAATTTACTAGTCTTAACACCTTTATGGCTAAGTAATGCTTTCCATGTCAACAGCATTGTTTCCTCTTCTTTCATTAAATGCTGTCCCATAACTATGGTCCCATTCCCGGTGGCTCACCTTAATAGGTGTCAAAGTTCAGGTCCGGACCAGGCAGATTCCAACTGCTCTCAGCTTCATCAGGCACTGTCTCCGCTGCAAGTCGTCATGCAGCCCACAGAGAGTCTCTCTGTGTCGAAATCATGTCATTTCCAAATGACGACGTCAGGGTCACCATTTGTCACAGTAGAGACAGACACGACAAGCAAGTGATGCAGGCAAAATGTCTATAGTTATTATTCTCCAAGCCCTTCTTTTATATCTGCTTTACAAAACCATGTGCTCATTTGATTGGTTACATCGTTGTCTTTTAACATTGCTATAGGTTAATTTTTACTCTTCTTCGCTCCTTAATAGGTGCGAGACTGCAGCTCTTCCATCCTGCTTCTTTGCTCACTGTTCCTCTTATCTTGCTTACTCAGCAAACGTTCCTCTTTTCAAGGGTGTCAATGGATAAAGCCTGGGTATCAAGAATAACACCAATATGGTTTGCCAGCTTGATCCAATTTTATTAAGTACAGAGCATCTTATATACTATTAGGGCGTGATCGCATACAGCTAAACAGGCTGTGATTGGTTCTAAGCTACTGTCCACACAATATAACTCATATTTCATTGGTACAACGCAAGAAGCACAAGCAAGAAGTACGAGACTATGGACCTCCTACTCAATGTTTCAACTTCACTCCATATCTCTAGTTAAGGAATTTGCTAAACAATAGCTCTCTATGCAGTGGCAAGCCAGAGAGGAACATTGAACAGTAAGTTCTTTACACAGAGTCAGTTAGCAGAGAATTACTCATGTCGGTATCAGGGACCAGGTGGCCGTTATCTTCCAAAAACTTCTCCACACAAGGGTACACTGGAATCTTACCAAGGCGAAACTCTTCTTCAATCAGGCTGGTGGCAGACCTGCTGCCTCCCCCAACATTTCACGGTTTGTTATTTACTGAGGTACTGGTAATGTGATTATGGGTTTGTTTTGTTTTTTTTTTTCCTTAAAAGGGAATCTGGAGCCCTCGGAAAATACCTCATCCAGACTATTTTGAAGATCTTCACCCATTCGAGATGACCACTGTCAGTGCTATTGGCTTAGAACTCTGGTCTATGACATCCAATATCTACTTTGATAACTTCATTATATGTTCAGAAAAAGAAGTAGCAGATGGCTGGGGCTTAAAGAAATTAGTAGCAAGTGCTAATGAGGTATAAACTTTACTATGTTCTTGATAGCCAAAAGTAGTGAGGAAGATGAGTGGGAAGAATTTTCTGTTGATTAATACTGACAAAATATTATTTTGTCTGCAATTAATAATCTTGCTAATTAACTCTGATAAGATTTTTTCTCATTGTTTAGTGCTTTATCTTTGAAATCCTCTTGAAAATAAAAATTAAATTAAAAGGGTACAACATTTTACTTCAACAGTGAGAAATTTGCTTTATTATAGTTAACGAGTCTTCTGCTGTTCATAGTGATACTAGAAATACATTACCTGTCAGCATATGGAAGCTGAGTGTTACACTCAAAGACCCCTTCCCTTCCCTTCCCTTCCCTTCCCTTCCCTTCCCTTCCCTTCCCTTCCCTTCCCTTCCCTTCCCTTCCCTTCCCTTCCCTTCCCTTCCCTTCCCTTCCCTTCCCTTCCCTTCCCTTCCCTTCCCTTCCCTTCCCTTCCCTTCCCTTCCCTTCCCTTCCCTTCCCTTCCCTTCCCTTCCCTTCCCTTCCCTTCCCTTCCCTTCCCTTCCCTTCCCTTCCCTTCCCTTCCCTTCCCTTCCCTTCCCTTCCCTTCCCTTCCCTTCCCTTCCCTTCCCTTCCCTTCCCTTCCCTTCCCTTCCCTTCCCTTCCCTTCCCTTCCCTTCCCTTCCCTTCCCTTCCCTTCCCTTCCCTTCCCTTCCCTTCCCTTCCCTTCCCTTCCCTTCCCTTCCCTTCCCTTCCCTTCCCTTCCCTTCCCTTCCCTTCCCTTCCCTTCCCTTCCCTTCCCTTCCCTTCCCTTCCCTTCCCTTCCCTTCCCTTCCCTTCCCTTCCCTTCCCTTCCCTTCCCTTCCCTTCCCTTCCCTTCCCTTCCCTTCCCTTCCCTTCCCTTCCCTTCCCTTCCCTTCCCTTCCCTTCCCTTCCCTTCCCTTCCCTTCCCTTCCCTTCCCTTCCCTTCCCTTCCCTTCCCTTCCCTTCCCTTCCCTTCCCTTCCCTTCCCTTCCCTTCCCTTCCCTTCCCTTCCCTTCCCTTCCCTTCCCTTCCCTTCCCTTCCCTTCCCTTCCCTTCCCTTCCCTTCCCTTCCCTTCCCTTCCCTTCCCTTCCCTTCCCTTCCCTTCCCTTCCCTTCCCTTCCCTTCCCTTCCCTTCCCTTCCCTTCCCTTCCCTTCCCTTCCCTTCCCTTCCCTTCCCTTCCCTTCCCTTCCCTTCCCTTCCCTTCCCTTCCCTTCCCTTCCCTTCCCTTCCCTTCCCTTCCCTTCCCTTCCCTTCCCTTCCCTTCCCTTCCCTTCCCTTCCCTTCCCTTCCCTTCCCTTCCCTTCCCTTCCCTTCCCTTCCCTTCCCTTCCCTTCCCTTCCCTTCCCTTCCCTTCCCTTCCCTTCCCTTCC